GCTTGCCGGAGGACTTTTCCTGCACTTTTTCCATCATTTTGCGGGGATCCCTCTCCAGAGTCTGGGAACTAGGTTGACAATGAAGTCCTTTGCATGCTGCATTGTACTGCTGGGTTTTTCTTCAGTTTTTTCCTTCTGTGGTCTGATTTCTGAGCTGGCCTTGTCTTCTATCCATTGTACTGTATTGCCTTCCCTTTAGGTACTCCTTTGCTACTTTCTATTATATAGTATGATTATGTTTGGGTTGTTGATAGAAGTTCATCCACATACCATTAGATATCAACAAATTTTATTCAGTATACTGTGTACAACTGTGGGTTAGAGAGGACATCTCTGGACCCCAGTTACCACTGGATATAATCTGACATTATCATTACATAGCTCCTTATGCACATGCTCAGTAGTTATTCTTAGAGTAAAGATATAGCTAACCCTTCCACACTGCCCCAGGTAAAATACTGGCAGCAGTGGAATGAGACCTTAAGTGGCCGTCAAAACCCCCCACAGCAAAACCTCAGGGATGTCACTGGATTTTATGAGCCGTACTCCTCCTCCCACTTCAAACCTGCTAGTCGGAGAATGTAAAATCCAGCTTGTACTTGGCCTGCAATGAACCATACACCCTTTCTTTTTCTTTCATCATATTTGTTCTTTCTGTTACCATACAAGGATCCCTGGTTTTATTTCCCCTGCCTGTCACTGCAACGTAGCTTGCCTGTATCTGAAGCATTTCATCCTTAAAGATAGCCATTGAACGATTGCAGTTTTTCCTGTCAAACTCCAGTATTAACTTGGCTACATCATTTCTCATCTTTTTGAAGTTAACTGTCTTCCAAATTAGAAATCCCCCTTTAGACTTTTCCTTTTTCTTTCCTTTGCTAATCTATGATGTGATGATCCCTGTTACCCAAGTTTCCCCCACATTCACTTGGTCAATTTTGCACTTATCATTACCCGGCACAGTTCTGACAATTTCTTCGTAAATGAACCTAGAACTCATGGAGGAAGTTCTCCAGATTTACAAGTACTGTGGGCTGCTGTTCTGCTGCTCTGATGACAATCTGTTTGCAATCCATCACACCCTGGGCATCAGGAAATCCATGAAACTGCTGCTGAGCTCTGGGCTACCTTATGTTGACCGGTGAGGTCAATGATGCTTCCTGTAGCAGACTGGACAGAGCCAGTGACATTGATGTCAAAAGTTATGCTAACTTTGAGAGCTGCAGCATAAATATGGCTCCTGGACCGTTAGGCAACAGGACCTGCTGCAGGATGCTTCGGAGTCTGCAACCAACATTCAGAAAAGTACAGACTATTTATGCACAGCTTTTTAGGTAGATCAGACTGGCTGTTAGAAAGTTCTTCCTGTTTAAATGGAATTGAGGTACAAGTTGAGTTAAGGTACTCATAGAATTCTAATTCACATATGTTTGCAGCACTACTATCTCTCATTGGTTGCTGTTTCGATCTACAAAAATATGTTGTTATTGAGAGGGTAGCAAACAGAAACAGAGCAGTGATTCCTTTGGACCCACCATCATACACTGTTTCTAATTGGTGAATGGATTTAAATCACCATCTGTGAGAATGCAGAGATGAGTGAAAATATATAGGTGGTTCTATTTATTTACATCTTATTTTACTAAGCTATTCAATGCCTTTTATTCTGTAAGTTTTCCTTATCCCTTGTGGGATGTTTAGTAGACATTCAGTTTTAGATTAACTTACACCTATAAATAGAGGGCAGAATGGTTAATACTCCTCTCAATTATTGCTCCTTGGTATTTTCTAACTTGCTTGTGGAAGAGGGCCAAGGAGCATTAGCCACCTTTCCCTCTCCTTTTTGTGCAGCTCTGCTACTGCAATATGATGAAATCTAGTGTTGGTGTGAAAATAGCTGCCTAACACTCAGATGCATGTTTTATAAGATCGTACTAAAAGTCATGGTTATGCCCAGCAGTGAGAGGAAAATGTTCCTCTTTAGTGTCAATGCTTTAAAATTAAATAAGTTCACGACTAGGATCAATAGTCATCTGAAAGCAGAAGTAGAATGGATGTTGATTCGAGCAAGCACGTGGATGGCTTCATCCAGCATTGTACAAACACCAAGAGTGATTAAAGATAAATATTTGAGTGAGGTGTTTTGAATTGTAAAGGCACTATGTAATTATTTTACAAAACTTGTGTTTTATCTTGCTTTTAAATTATTTTGAAGCATTTGAAGTATCCACATTGTCCTGCAGATTAAAAGTTAACATAAATACATCTGAGTGTTTCAAAATCCCCTTAAATTTATATTGCTATTTTCTACAAATGAGCAGTGCTTTCAAAAGAGAGAATCTTTAGAGAAATAAACTTCAACAATAGCATTTTATAAAAACAAAATATGTTCAAGAAATTTTGAATAATAATTTTAGAGGAAGACTAAGGTTGCTAATGTTTTCTAGACTATCACCTGTAAGGGAGTACAGAAAGCCAACCAGGGATTTGACAGGACATCAGAGCTGAGCCCAATCCTGTTTAAATGCACACTTTCCAGCAGGGGTCACTGGATAATGATAAAGAGTAGGAATAAGCCCCTATGCCAGTACACTGCAGTCATGATACCCCTACTACCACTGTAGCTTCTATAAGCAAATGATACACACAGTGGGAATTGAATCTGTGACTTTCCTTGTCAGTGTAGGACATCAACTCCTTTACAGTTTAAAATCATTGCAGTACCCTCCTAGTTTAACTCCACCTTCCTGCTACTTTTAATACATCAACACCACAAGTATAACAGAATAAGTAAATAATTGAATGATACTCTTACTTTGAAAATATTACTATAGAGTTAGAAACATTATGCATAATAATTTCACAAAACTGCATCAGGTAGTTCAACCGTTGTGCTGAAGATAATTTCCTTTTTATTATACACAATTTTGATTGATCTTCACTCGGCTGACTTGAAGGTATTGTGACCTTTGTTTTTAAAATTAACCTGCATTTTGTACCAGATGAGAGTAAAAGTAGAAAATTCTCTCCAATTGTTTATGTTGGCAGCAATGTCAAGTGAGGTGCCATAATTTTTTTTTTAAACTTGCATATAATTCCCTTGTTAGGCACAATAGCATTAAAAGAATAACCAAAATTTGTATCCTCAGTACAGTCAGTGCCACGTTTATTGCTGAAAAAAATCATCTTTGTTTTAAATATAGATTATTTTTCTTGTGCAAATGAATGCGTTTAAAAATTCCTTATCCACTCCTTGTCAGCTTAGACCTTAGAAACCTATAAACAAATGAATTAAAATGGAGCGTGCTAACAATTGGTGGAGGCAGGGGAGATCAGTGTTGGGCATTAGCAGAAATTAATTCGTAGCTTTACTTGTCTGAATGAATTTGGAAATCTATAAGTACTCAGGTGAAAATGATTTGGATGTAAATTCTGATAATGATTACTGGTGCCACTGAAAAAGCTGCAGTCAGCATTTAATGGCTTTGTTGTTTGATGTTATGAGCTATTAAACCATTCCATCATGTGCCACCACAGACTGCCGTGATAGGATGATGAGTTGAAATAACAGAAAACACCAATGCTATAGGTTGGTGAAATGACACTGGGTTTGACTGCACATTCTTAATGGGTCATTCCTTCTTGAGCTGTACTGCTGCTGCTGCTGTGGCAGGATAGCCCTGGAATCTGGTTACATCTGAGAAGATTTGAACATAATTGGCAAGGTAGGTTTGCTTTTAGGGGAGAAGCTAATTATTTTTTTAAAGAACAGGGAACATTAACAGCATGCTGATTTCAAGCATCAGTTTAAAGTGTTTGTACTGAAATTAACGGGAATGAAGATTTATAGAAATCCATTGCAATGTGTTTGGTTTCCCTGGTGATTTCTCGCAGTTGGTTGTCGACATTACCCTGCTATTGTAAATTTGTGCGTGGTTTGCAATATAATTCTCTATTTATGCTTTGAAGGAGTTTGGCTTATGTTTTCTTAACTCTTCTTGATGAGTTGTCATATCATTATTTTCTTTCTTAATTTTAAACTTTTGAACATTCCTCTTGTAGCCATGGATTGAATTGAGATAATGAGATGGATGTTGTTTGGTCTTTGAGTGCAATAAGCTGTATGATTAAGCTATCACAGTTGTTAAGGAGATAGAATTTTCATTTGTAATTTTGAATTATTCTGGAGCAGAATGCAAGTGTTGTGCAGGCTGAAAGACACAGCTTTAGGGCAAATCTATTGAGTTCTGATTGTATGTCTCTTGTTTTTTTTTCCTCCCTCCTGACAATATGTTAAAAATATTTTATAATATAATAGCTATATATCAGTATGTTTTGCAAAATCAGTAAATTATGACACATTTCATATTCTGTATTGTGATAAAATTTCTACTTTAATTATTAGTACGTGCAAAATGGTTTTTGTATGGTATTAATACTAATATAAATGTGAGCAAGAATATAGATGTCACTTAAATCTGTTTGAGTTGTTTGATTTTCTGCAATATAATGCTGCACGAGAATTTTCAATGAATTCTTGCATATATGTATGTGCATACATTTTTCATAAGCCCTGCAATATTGTAGTGTAAAATGCCCAATAATTTTAGAGGTGAAAGCTAACATACATTCTTGAATGAAATCAGTAATGCATTGGCAATGATGCATATGGTTGATTACAGTATTATGGCTGTGATGTACTTATTGTCGATCTGTTGACATTAGAATCAAATGAAAGAAAGGTCTGCATCTTTCTCCCAGAAATGAACTTAATTCAGCTCCATGAACACTGCAGTTTTCATAGCGTTGCTTTGAGTTTACTGGCATTGGGTGTGAATGTATGTGGTGAAGAGAGGGCGTGTTGGGAAGAAATAGAATAAGTTCAAATAATTGTTGTGATTTCACTTTGATAAACCCAAAATTGAATATAATGCTAGAAAATAAAAGCTAAAATACTTGCATCTTTTTTCCTCTTCCCAATTCCCACCTTCTCCATTCAGAGTACAGCCGGTTTGAGGCAAAAATCCATGACTTACGGGAACAGATGATGAATCACAGCATGAGTTCTGGGTCTGGTTCCCTAAGAACTAATCAGAAACGCTCATTGTATGTAAGGTAAGTAAATTTATTTGCTATTTATTTACTTAACTGGTAACTATACTGTTACATAGAGTGTAATGTACACCGATACATAGACTTGTATAGTAATTGTATCACAACGCGAAAAGGATACAAAGCTAGCCAGAACAAGCCAAATAGTTGGGCCACTGTTGCCAGCCACATTCGTTTATTTACTAACAAATTATAGGCACCAGTCACAGTCCTAGTGATAGCTTGCCAGCATTGGCTCAAGTGCGTTTGTGTGAGGCCAGAAGCAATTAGCAGTGACCTGGAGTAGTCCATGAATAATAAGAAGATGAAAGAAGCCTGTTCTTTCTGTTTCCATGGTAAGAGAAGTAAAAAGAGAGGTTAAAATTACCTCTAGCAACCATTATTATTCCACTTTTTCATTATTTAGCACCTGAAGTACCTTCACTGATGAAGCAGATGCTTCATCCATGTTCGCTCTTATTGGAGATTTAAGCAGCCTTTTCATGCCTGTAAAATGCGATCCAATTTCTAGGCCATTGCTGTTTTAAATGGATTTTTAGGTCATGCTTCATCAGTAAATGACACACCATATGTTAAAATATTATTGCAGCTGTTGAAATAATAGTCATTTTATCTCATAACGAGCTATGTAGGTAGGCTTAAGATTTGAACCAGCATCTGGAGCTTTTCACCAGAGAAAAAGTATTGATAATGAAAATCCTTTCTTATTGGACCTAAAATAACTCTAAATGTCTATGGGTAATGCAACCTTGATAAGGCTTTTTACTTCATATCATTAGACAAGCATATAAACACCTTTATACTTAGCAATGTTAATAAATTGATTAACTTTATCCTCTTTGCTGACAATGTTACTTATGGAGAAAAATGCATGCAGATTAGCTCCACCACTGGTGATGTGAGAGGTACCATTGACCTTGTTGTTACTCACGTCACTCTGTTCCTCTGAAGACTGTTAAATTAAAGTCACTCTGTACTTACTGGCAGTTTTGATGTGCAATTTATTCCTGAAATCGAAAGCTGTGTCTTGGGAATAATCAATTTTTTTTCTAAGCTGCTAAGGGGAGAAGTATTTATAGGCAATCAATCCATCATTTCAGAAGGGGCATTTGCCAAACCTCTCCACCATTGTGTGTGCTTCAGTAAATCATTTTATAATGTCTTTAAATATGGTACACACAAAAATAATAGCTCAGTGTTTATGGCATTACAAGTTGCACTATAAATCCACTGCATCACAAAGTCATAAGCTGCAGCAATACAAGCTCTTCATCTTCTCCAGAATATGAGGAATAAGAAAAAAAGATAGGTCAGGAAATAAATGAATCCTCATCACTATAGTATATCTTGCTTAGCTAGTTAGAAACTGAATGCTCAGAAAAGTCAGGAAGTAAGCCATTTATAATGTCACTTGACTGCACCTTTGCCTCAGCTCATTTGCTGCTGAAACACTTGTCCCTTCTTTTGTTCTATCTATACTTGACTATCCCAACACATTCTTGGTTGGCCTCTGTATACTCTATTGTCTGCTACCTGCACTAAGTCCCATTCACACTACCCATATATTTGTTAATAATAGATAAACACAAGTTCTTCTTGTTCTCCCTATGTAATATGAAGTTTCTAGTACAAAAATGCGAAGAGTGGGCAACTGAGCAATTTGATTGAAAAATGAATGAAGTCTAAACTGAAAGCTGCTTTCTTCATGTCTCTGCTGCCATTGATCTGATCACAACTGAATTAGGTGCAGTCTCGACTTCATCGTTGAATTAATTACTCAGTACGACAAAACTTAAATGTTCCTAAAAAGAGACATGAAGTCAAAGCTTTTTGCCTTGTATTCATCAGGACTGAAGCACAAGAAAAGTAACTTAGAAACATAGATATACAGAATATATGAGCAGGAGAAGGCCATTCAGCCTTTCAGGCCTGCTTCGCTATTCAATAGGATCGTGGCTGATCATCCAACTGAGTACCCTGTTCCTACTTTCTTCCGATATCCTTTGATCCCTTTATTCCAAAGAACTATACCTATATCTTTCTAGAAAGTCTTAACAGTTTCCTGTTGCAGAGAATTTAACAGGCTCACTGGTCGCTGGGTGAAGAAATTTCTCATTCTCTCTGTTCTAAAAAGACCCTTATCCTTTGACTGTGACCCCTGCTTCTGGAATTCCTGAACTCATTGAGAACTTTCTGTTGATAGAAGGTGAGCCTGTCTGGCAGCCAAAGGGCAGCCTATCTGCCCTTGCCAAAGCAGATGCACTTAATTATTTCTTGGGCCTCAGGCATAAAAATTCCCATTCTAGAGCTGAGCAATACTTTCTGACTGCTAAAGTTAGCTGCATATCAAAGTCAGACAGTTACCAATGTAAAATTTTGAAAATTAGCTTGTTTTTAAAAGATTGTTATAGAGAATGGAGAATGAGTAGTTGAGGCAGAAAACATTGACGAAATCTGATTTCTGATGAAGGGTCTAGGCCCGAAACGTCAGCTTTCCTGCTCCTATGATGCTGCTTGGCCTGCTGTGTTCATCCAGCTCTACACCTTGTTATCTCAGATTTTCCAGCATCTGCAGTTCCTGCTATCTCTGATACAGGTTGAATTTTATGTTCTTTTTGTCTAAATGTTGGTTGTGTCTTTTTTTGCAGTCTTTTTTGCCGCAAGCCCTGTATCTTACTCAACTCATTTCATTAACTACCTGCCACCACATGACATGCCTTTCATCTGATTCTAACCTCCATCTTACCACACATCATTCTGGAGCAATTCACCACTCAGTGGGATATCTGTCAATAGACCAGCATCCTTACAGTCACATGTCTTTAAAAGGCTTCTGTACACTCAGGGTTGGCAATCTAGTGTTACCCCTCACTCACTGACTAAGTAATGGCACAACAGCCACAAAACCATCTGGTCAGGGTACATAGCCAGCATGACTGTCACTCTCTCAAACATTCAACCCGAATTCTATCACCCTACTCACTGTTTAACCACCATGTCCCACAGTTTTCTTGTCATTACATCATTGGATCTTGTTATGCTACATTCCATCTAAACACCTTTCCTAATTCACTACCACCTAGTCTAGATGGTATGTAATTGTGCCCATGGCTGATGATACAGGGACTTGTGAGCTAGGTGCTTATCTTTGCAGACAACATGCCCTCACAGCAGCCTTTATAGCTAGTTGAATGTGTGCTCTGCAGTACAACTCTAAGCCTTATAAATATCATGCAAGTGACTGGAGAGATGCCATGTGGATCATGAGATGGCAAATGTTAGATGCCACTGTCCATGGACGAAGGTAGTGGGCAGTTGGTGTCATGGATCATGCCCTAAGATACTGTTTGCTGTGGAGCAATGTGAAGAATGTTCACAGCCCGCAGCAAGCTGAAGCTACCAGTACCCATTCTGACTTCAAGGATTCTTGACATCTAGTTTGTTCGGCATATTAGGTAAGATAGGAAGCTGAATATTAATGAGGTGAGTTGTGCCACTAATAAGGTGTTTAACAAGCTGTAATCCCCTTTAGTTGACAACATGCTGCAGAGCGAGTAGCTTGCCTCATCGCCTGGCAGATACATAATAGATGCAGTAAGTTGATTCTATTACCTTGCAATAGGCCTTACCGGACTTCTTGTATGATTCTGCCATAAATCCCACCATAGCTGATGTAATTCAGACCCTATACGATTCTGCTGTATGTACTGAACATTTTTCCTTCCACAATGCATTTTCAATCTCACCACAAACCACCATCAGCGTATTTCTTCCCATGTGATGCTGGGCTGCAACATAATTCTTTATCAATGATAACTACAGTAGTAGCAGTAGTGTTCACACCTCAAAGAGTGATAGAGGAGATGGACAGAAGCAAAAATTGAATGAAGACCACAGAGAGGAAAAATGTAGTGAAAAAAATTTCTAAGATTAAAGCTCATTCTAGGAAAAATTGTAAATCACAAGTAGGTCTTTTGCTGTCTTGTCTTCTTAGGAAGATCACAGAAGAAATTGACATCTTGCTAATTTAGCATGCAAGTGTCTCCAGTAAAGCAGCAGACTTTATAGTCAGAGCTCATATTTTTTTTTAGTAACTAAATGCTCTTTAGTTACCTTTGGAAAATGTCCATTAGTGAAGCATTTCAGGCAGGAGAATATAATGGTTCTTTTGGGTCACTTCTCTAGTTGTTGTCATTTCATTGTCTGTTATTCTAACTCATTCTTTCCCTGGATTCATTTCCCTTAATCTTTATTCCCTCTTATAATACTCTATTTTATAAAGCTCAATAATCTAAAGGCTTGCTGAAGTGAACGAATGATTGTGACAAATTATTAACCCCCTTGTTCAATAATTTTGTGTAACGATGCACCTATTTTGTTGCTTCATTGACCTGCATACATTTGTGAAGTCACTGAGTAGAAATGCGGGTAATTGGACAGTTCATAGGGCATATACAATTGACATGTTGGATTGAACACCAAAATTAAGATTATAAAAATTAGCTGAATGTATGGTGACCAAAGTTTCAAAGGAATAAATGGAATGTTAATCGATTTTGAAATATTGAAACGGGTAGGAAGAAAAGTGAAAAGAAAATTCAGAGGCCAGGGTGAGCACATAGCAGGCACCTTACCCAACAGAATTTGGAATAAGTTTCTACTCCACGTCAGTGTCAATTCCAGTTGCAGTGGAGGAGTCTACCTCCCCAACCATATCCTCCCCTTTCCAGTACAGGTCTAGATGAGGTCACAATTACTATTCTGACAATGTTCTTTTACTTGGATTGGAACATGTAGAATGTTTATGAGCCTGTTTACTTTGGCCCTTACTGGGCCTCAATCTCCATTATTAGAGCACTAGCACACTGCGACTTCTTTTACGGCAACAGACTTAATGCCATTATCCATGGGTGTAGAGTAAAGTCTGTAATGTTCACTCATGCGGAGGCATGGAAAGGAGTGCCTGAAGTGAATCCCAGAGACAGCTTATTGCTACAGGTGAA